TTGTATGTAGGTCGGACCTGGCGTCCAGATTCAGCCGCTGTTGAAATTGACCAGCGGCTGACTACAGGAAGCCCAAGGCAGAGCTGCTCTGCCCTGCCCCGGACTTCCTGGAATCAGCTGCTGCTCAGTTTCAACAGCAGCTGAATCTGGGCACCTGGGACAGAGCAGCTGGGGCACTGCTGGGTAGGTCCCCGCGGCGCCGCACCTCAGCGCCGCGGGGACCAACCGGGCAGCACCCCAGGTGCTCTACCCCAGGTGTCCCCAAGTCAGCTGCTGCTGAAACTGATCAGCGGCTGATTCCAGGAAGCCCGGGGCAGAGAAACTCTGCCTCAGGCTTCCTGTAGTTAGCCGCTGGTCAGTTTCAGCAGCGGCGGAATCTGGACGCCAGTTCCGACTTAAGTACAAATTCAACTTAAGTACAAACCTACAGTCCCTATCTTGTACGTAACCCGGGGACTGCCTATACATATACCTTTTATCAATACCCTTTCAGCTAATTTAATTTTATTGCCTATAAAAAGCAAGATACCACCCACAGTACACACTAAATGAGAACAATAGAAATGGAAGAGAACTAAAGTATATTATATATATATATGCAAGAAACATGGTACAAGTGCTTTTTTATTATGTTCCACTCATAGTTGTGGAGAGATTTGGTGGGTCCCTGAGCAAGGTGGAAGGGGACTCAACTCAGTATCCCTAAAAGGGGTAGGGCCTCAGATAGAAGGGACAGGGCTGGGGTTAGCCTCCCTCATCCAGCTTTTCAGGTACTGTAGACCACTGGGGGAGGCAAGATAAATAAATTCATAATTTCAAAGAAGTTGATTTATTTCAATCTCTATCAGTAGAAAGCCGCATCACAATATGGTATGTGACCTTTGATTCAGGCATCAATATTTTCTTTGTTTTCATTTTCATTGTCTTTGAATTGGCCTTTTTCCTTTCATTATTGAGCAGTTGGGCTGCAGAAAGAAGTCTACAACTATATAAAGTTTCTCAATATGTAAAGTTCAGGGGCTGGCTTTGCTCTTACCCCACGAGCAGCTCCAATAACATGAATGGAGTTGTATGAGTGACAGTAGGATCAAATTCTTAGGCCAATACAAATTTTGTGTGGAATGTGGATACAGAGCTACTGAAAGATGAAGCCATAAGTCCTCTGTCCATTTATGATAGTAGTGACTGTGAGGGCCTGTCTCCACTACATGGTGGATCTACACTGCAGAGATGAATCCACCGACAGGCGATTTATTGCTTAGAAGTGATAATTTGACCTCCAAGTGCTCTCCTGTCAACTCCAGTACTCCACCAGGACAAGATGAGTAGGAGGAATCAATGGCAGAGCATCAGCCGCTGAACTTACCGCACCTTACCACATGAAAGACACCACAGTAAGTACATCTACTTCAGCTACATTACTCACATAGCAGATGTTGTGTATCTTGACCGTGTGGCATTGTGTGTACTCAGTGCAAGTTTCCTCAGTGCTGCTTCCTTGATATAGAGAGATCACTAGAAATGAAAATATATCTCAATCTCCATATTCATCTCTTCCTTGATGTTAGGCATTCCAGGAAGGTTGTAGTTTCACATTTATTGGTCAGTGCTAAAAGAGACTGAATTAATAACAGAGATGAAGCCGGACCTGCCTCTATGCAGTTGATGGCCCTTATCTGTTGTTCTGCAGTGCCTTTAGCAGTTTCTGCAGGCTGTCCTCCTGGCCCTGTAAGAACACAAACCCCAGCTTATTGTGGAGACCCTCATCATCTCCCTGCAGGTGCAGCTCTTCCAGCTGCACCCATCATGCATCTGGACATCATTCCGACTGGTGCACCAGCTCATTATGGAGTGGTAGGACAATCGGCAGTGGCTCCAGAATTTCTGCATGCAGAAGGAGACCTTTCTGGAGCTGTGTGAATGGCTCATCCCTGCCCTCAGGTAACAGGACACCCACATGAGACCTGCTATCCCCCTCAAGAAGTGGGTAGCCATTGCTATTTGGAAGCTTGCCATGCTGGATCTATCAAGAACCAGTTCAGCATGGGGAGGTCAACCGTCAGGGCCCTGGTCACACAGGTATGGCCCCTTGGGCTATTGTCCCAGGAAGGGGGTGAAGTGCTAGAAAGGGGAACCCTAAGGAAAGGGGTGGGTTGGTGGTGGGGGTGATGGTGGAAGCCCCCTTCCCTGGGCATCCTCACAAAGCCCTGCTGGGGGATGGGCTAAATAAGGGGTTGCTCCTGGTGTGTGTGTGGGAGGGGCGGGAGGGGGGCAGCCATTGGGAGCTCCTAAGGGCTCTGGCACCCCTGTGATTCTCTGTTTGTCTCTTTCTAAAGGTGGTTGAGGGTCATCAACACCATTCTGCTGCCCAGGGTTTGCAGAAGTGGGCTTCCTCAACTGCGGGGGAGGCTATTGATGGCACCCACATCCCCATCTGGGCCCCTGACCACCGGGCATGTGTATACATCTCCTGCAAGGGGTATCTTCTGATGGTCTTTCAGGACATCATGGACCACCATGGGCAGTTCATCAACATCTATGTTGGGTGGTCAGGGAAGGCACCCGACACCCATGTTTTCCACAACTCTATCATCTTCCAGAAGCTGCGTGCCGGCACTTTTTCCCAACCACAGGGTCAGGGACGTCGACATGCCAACGTGCACTGTAGGGGACGTGTCCTACCCTGTGTTGCCCTGGCTCATGAAGCCCTGCACCGGACATTTTGACCCCACCAAGGAACAATTCAACACCAGGCTCAGTAGGGCCCGTACGGTGGTGGAGGGCGCCTTCAGGCATCAGAAGGTGAGGTTCTGGTGCCTCCTCATCCGGCTTGACATTGGGGAGTGGAACATCCCCCAGATGGTGGCTGTATGCTGTGTCCTTCACAATATTTGTGAAAGGAAGGGGGAGGTGTCCCTGCCAGGATGGGGGGCAGAGGCTGCTAGCTCATCAGAGCTATGGGCATCCAGGAGGCACTGAGGAAGTTTCTCACAAGGACCCCAGTTACACATTTCCCTGGGCTGCCCTACAAAGGGCCTATGCATTGCCCCTCTTTGCCTGAAAGATAATAAAACACACTTTTTGTTTTGGAAAAAAATGAACTCTGTTTTTTATTTAGGGAAGAGGTAACTGGGGAGGAACTGGGGAAAGAACCTGGGAGAGGGGAGGAAAGCTAGGGGAGGGGCAAGAGGGGGAATGAGAACCTTGGAGGGGAGAGGAGGGAGCTGGAAGTGAGAGGAGGGGTGAGGAGAGGCTCAGAGCTTGGGCTGGGAGTGGTGCCTGGCTCTGATGGTCCCAAGGGGAGGGGCGTGGGGGGGGGGGGGGGGGGGGGGGGGGAGAGAGGGCTAGTGGGAGAAGCAGGAGCTGGAACAGGGTCTGGAACAGGAGGTGGAGAAGGAGCAGCAGCAGAAACAGGAGCAGGCACCAGGCCAGTGAGGAGTGCTTGCACTGCCACACACATGGTGTGGCCCTGCTCCAACAACTCCTGCCAGGTATCTTGCCACAGCTGGATGTCCTCCTCAAGCCTCTGGTCCAGGGGGTCCTGCAGGGATCGGAGCTTAGTAAGTGCTCCCACAGCAATTCCTTCTGTGTTCGCTGGCCTCTCCGGGTCTCCCGATGTCGGGGGGCTTCCCGGCTGGTGTCAACTGTCCCCTTCTCGCAGCTGGTCCGGCTGTGGAGAAAAGAGAGATGGTCAGTCATCCCTGGAGACACTGTCCCTGAAGCCTGGCCCTCATCTGTGACCCAAGACCGACAGTTCTCAGGTCAGACGAAGGCAATGTGCTTATAGCAAGGCCATCTGTGGCCTGGGCAGTGGGACCTTTCCTGCAGAGGCCCAGATGTCTCCAGGGGGGAGCTTCACTACCCCCATGTCCAAGGGACAAGCAGGTATGGGAAGCTGCCATCCAGGTGGGGGGCCCTTGGGCAGCTGGGCTTCCCACGATGCTGCACACACGCTGGGTCCAGCAGTGGTGGTGTCCCGCTGAAGGAGAGGGGTCAGGATGTTGGAGGGAGGTGTGTGTGAGCGGCAAATCCTCTTGTGCCTCACTGCATAGTCCCCAGGAACAGGTGCTGCCTCGAGCATGCAGGCAGGCCTGTGTGCCATATGTGACACTCCTGAGTGTGTTTGTGTCCATGTCCTCAGCCACCTGCTAGTGGTAGGTTGTAGTGAGAGGGTGTCCCACCCCGGTGTCAGGAGTGTTGCTGGCCTCTCCAGACCCTTGAGCAATAGCACAGGGGTCCTCTGGTGCAGCTTCCTGGGGCTGTGTGCTGGGACTGGCACTGCACGTGCATCCATGTGCACAGGCTGCTGCGCAATCCCCAAAAGGTGGCCACCTGCCACCTTTTCTCTGTGTGTGTAAGGAAAATAAAGGCACTCACCTGATGTGACTTCCCCAGCCTCAGACGATGCCTGGGACACATCCAGGGTGTGGAGTACTGGCTCCAGAGACAGTATGGTGATGGTGCTGGCCGCATCCAGGTTCTCCGCTTTCTCCTCCTCCTCACCACTGGCTCTGCCCCTTGGGAGGGTGACAACAGATCTCTCCAGCTCTGAGTCTACTACCGGGGGGTGGGGGAAAGGACTGACCTGTCCTTCAAGATGAGGTGCAGGTGCATGTAATAGGGTCAGGTGTGGGGATCACACCCAGAGCGGGAGCTGCGCTCCCTCACCTTGGCATATGCCTGGCAGAGCTCCTTAACTTTCATCCGCACCTGCTCCTGGTCACGGATGTGTCCTTGTGGCCAGGCTATCAACTATGCAGCCATAGACATCTGCATCCCTCATCTGGTGCAGAGATCCTGAAGGTTTTCCTCCTCACCCCAGACTTGGGTGAGGGCCAGGATCTCTGCACCAGACCAGGAAGGTGCATGCTTCTTTCGGCACCTGGCAGGGTTCTGAGAACTGTCTGACTGCTCCCTGGGAGCAGTAGAGGGCTCGGTGGGAGCAATGGAGTCGCTCATGTCAGTCAAAATCAAGCTGCTGCGAGGCTCAGAGCTGTTAGGGCCAGCTTCCCGCCACAAGACACTTTCCCTTCTGCTGGCATCTTTAAGGGCTGAAGGGGAACTATAGAGTTGTAATGAGTGTGGACAGAGTGGCCAGCAGGACACCTGTGGGATTTCTTGGCAGCCTCTTATTTTGAAATAACTCCAGCTGCTCTGTCTACACACGTACTATTCTGAAATAACTATTTCGGAATATGTGTTATTCCTTGTAGAATGAGGTTTACAGAAGTTGGAATAAGCCACCCGTTATTTCAATATTATTTTGAAATAACGGAATTGCTGTGTAGATGCTTGCAAAGTTATTTCAGAGTAAGGCTGCTGTAGACACACCTTTAGAGCTTTTGCATTTAGGGCCAAATTATTGATCAGCTTATTATTAATACCCTCAACCACAAAATGTGTGGCTGAAATAATTTCTATTAGGTTTTCCAGACAGAGTTTTATACTAAATTTACACATGCATATGAATATAAGAGAACATCCATTTTATTAGATGAATTGCTGGCTGAATATTTCATCTCAGTATCCCTGATTTTGAACATTGTATGTTCCTTTAATCAGCAACTGCAAACTCCTGTTGGATCCTTTACTACAGTGGTCCCCAAAAATTCAGAGAGGCTCCGCAGGCCTGTACCAGTCACCACCAGAGAGCATGGAGGGTTCTCCAACCAGTCCCAGTTAGCCCCCAGGGGTGGCTCTCTGCCCACTCCCAGCCACTGCTCCATTCCAGACCCCACCCCCAGCCTTGGCCACCAGCTGCAGCTCCACTCCCAGCCCTATTCCTGTTCCCGGCCTCAGCTCTTGGCCCCAGCCCTGCTCCTGGCCCTAGTCTTGGATCTTTTACCCCTGAACATGCCATAGCCCCACTCCTTGCCCCAGCTCTGAGACAGGGGCAAGAGAGAGCATGATATAAAAATTTGGGGACAGCTGCTTTACTGGTCCTGGAATCTGCCAGGTAATGTCAACATAAATGGATATTCTACATTTAGTTTCAGGATAGTTATATCAGTATAAAACTTTTCTAGACATGAAATCATATATGATTTTTCTTTATCACCTGAGATCAGTAATATCATATTCAGATTCACATCTGATTCTCCTAATACCAGATGGTACTATGTGATTAGCCTGCCCTTTTGCTAGGTTTCTGATTAGAGGAAAGTTCTTCAGTGCTCATACACCCCCCCCCCCTCCCAGTCAGTCTTCTAGCTTTGCTTCTTTTAACAGGGATTCCCTTCAGTTTTTGTCTTGAAGGGAGACAGAGCTGCACGTCATTTTGCTTGGAGTTCACAACACCTGTGTGAGCATTTTTCAAATCACATCTGCTGCATAAGTGGGAGCAGAGGCAATAGGCTCCAAGGAGTTCATAGCTGCTTTTGTTCCTGCCTGTAGGCATTTTTCGACAGTTTTTAGTTCAAGTGCACCTTTACCACTTGTTTAATTTTAATTTGTCTAACTATTTAATAATTCCTTTGGGGAGTGGTAGCACTATAATAAAAGCATGTATAAATTTTATAAATATAAAATCAAGTAGGAGCTCCTAACAACTGCCTTCTCACTGTTAAATGATTAGGCTCTATCCCTTGATTCTTTTAAGGTTTGTGGGGGAAATAGTTTGTGGTCACCATATGTGTAGAACAGTGAAAACAGAAAATCTGTGGGATCTATAAAAGTGAATTTGAGTCAAACTAACAGGGATTGTATAGAAGTCCACAGAAATTGCTCCAGCCAATATATATAGAGAGTTCAATAGAGACTTATATGCTGCTATTGAATTTCGTGCTTTGGTTTAAGAATTCTATTGAATGGCTATCATTTTTATTAAAAGGATACTCTCAACTTTATAATTATATTTCTATTACTTACTAATTTTTAATTACCATTATTACAAGTGTAACCCAGGATTACTATAAATGACTGGGCAGAGAAAATCACTTTGTGCAGTTGATAGCACCCTGTGTTTATCAGTTTCTCTGACTCCCCTGCATAGTAAGCAAATTTCTCCTAACATTGGTGGGTGTCTTTCACATGGCCACACAGATAAAATGAAAATAATAATAAAAAAGGAAACATGTATGTGTTTAACTTTATTCACATAAGTAGTCCCAGTTAGCTCAGCATTGAG